TTGTGATTGCACCGTTGATTGTAGTGGCTACAGTGTTCATTGTGATTGCACCGTTGATTGTAGTGGCTACAGTGTTGATTGTGATTGCACCGTTGATTGTAGTGGCTACAGTGTTCATTGTGATTGCACCGTTGATTGTAGTGGCTACAGTGTTGATTGTGATTGCACCGTTGATTGTAGTGGCTACAGTGTTCATTGTGATTGCACCGTTGATTGTAGTGGCTACAGTGTTGATTGTGATTGCACCGTTGATTGTAGTGGCTACAGTGTTGATTGTGATTGCACCGTTGATTGTAGTGGCTACAGTGTTCATTGTGATTGCACCGTTGATTGTAGTGGCTACAGTGTTGATTGTAGTGTTTGCAACAACCATGAGAGCGGAGATGGTAGCGGTGGCAGCTTTCTTAGCGTTTATTCTGCCAATGTTTATATTGTTGATTGTAAATGTGTTTATATGCTGCTGTTGCGATACTTGTAGTGGTAGAAGCTGTGGTGATGGTGGTAGCTCTGGTGGTAGACAGGGTGATAGTGGTAGACACGGTGGTGGTGGTTATTGTGATGGTGGTGGTGGTTGTGGTGGTGGTGATGGTGGTGGTTGTGGTGGTGGCCAGTAGTGGTACTGATGGTAGTGGTGGTGCTTAGTCATCAGGGGAGAGTGACCACAGTGTGGATGAGGGGTTGTGGAGTGTGGATGAGGGGTTGTGGAGTGTGGATGAGGGGTTGTGGAGTGTGGATGAGGGGTTGTGGAGTGTGGATGAAGGGTTGTGGGGTGTGGATGAGGGGTTTTGGGGTATTGAAGAGGAGCTAGAAGGGGAGGGGGTGTAGAGGAGGGGTTAGAAAGGGAGGGGGTGTAGAGGAGGGGCTAGAAAGGGAGGGGGTGTAGAAGAGGGGTTAGAAAGGGAGGGGGTGTAGAGGAGGGGTTAGAAAGGGAGGGGGTGTAGAGGAGGGGTTAGAAAGGGAGGGGGTGTAGAGGAGGGGCTAGAAAGGGAGGGGGGTGTAGAGGAGGGGCTAGAAAGGGAGGGGGTGTAGAGGAGCGGTTAGAAAGGGAGGGGGTGTAGAGGAGGGGTTAGAAAGGGAGGGGGTGTAGAGGAGGGGCTAGAAAGGGAGGGGGTGTAGAGGAGGGGCTAGAAAGGGAGGGGGTGTAGAGGAGGGGCTAGAAAGGGAGGGGTGTGTAGAGGAGGGGCTAGAAAGGGAGGGGGTGTAGAGGAGGGGCTAGAAAGGGAGGGGGTGTAGAGGAGGGGCTAGAAAGGGAGGGGGTGTAGAGGAGGGGTTAGAAAGGGAGGGGGTGTAGAGGAGGGGCTAGAAAGGGAGGGGGTGTAGAGGAGGGGCTAGAAAGGGAGGGGGTGTAGAGGAGGGGCTAGAAAGGGAGGGGGTGTAGAGGAGGGGCTAGAAAGGGAGGGGGTGTAGAGGAGGGGCTAGAAAGGGAGGGGGTGAGGTTGGTGTATTTAGAAACTGGATGATGTGTAGAGAAACGAACGGGTAGGAGACTGGATGAGAAATCTAAAAAAAAATACTGGATATCCCCCCCCCCCGGTGTTGGCATCACCCCTCTCACCCATCATTTAAATTCCTGGGGGAAGTGCTAAAACCGCAAGGGTTGTGCAGTCCGTCGGTAATTCCCTACATGGAAATTAGTCCAATTACCAACGTGTTTTAAACGTAATTAGCCTTAATTATGCCATTAACAATTTCCTGATTTTTCCCCTTCAAACCAAAATTTTTTAGCAATTTTTGGTAATGGGCAATTTTTCTTTTTTTTTAAGTAGAGAGAAAAAAATCTGTAAAAGGAATATTAAGATAAAGACGAAAGAAATTTTAGTGTTTGGAAAGAGACCACATTTTTTTTTTAGTATTTAATATATAATATATATAAATATATATATAAATATATATATATATATATATATATATATATATATATATATATAAATATATATATATATATATATATATATATATATATATATATATATTATATATATATATATTTATTTATTTATTTATTGTGTGTGTGTATTTGATTTAGAGTGAAAGTGTTTACTGTCCAAAATATAATTGTTATCGAGACTAATGATGTCATTTATTTTCCCAGGATCACTCCGTTTACTTCTTTAAAAGCTGTAGTTGAGATAGACTAATTATGTTTATCGTGTTCATTATCCTCGTCTCTCCAGAGACTTGTGTGTCACTGCCTCCACACGGTCACGTGCTCACCTCTTTTCTCTTTCTCCCTATCTCTCTTGCTCTCAATCTCAGGACAATACAACTTCCTATCACACTTCTTCCTCACTCTTCCCCCTCTTCACCCCCCACTGCTTCCTCATTTCCTCACCACTTTATTCATTCTGTCTCAGACTCTGGTAATCAATGTCTTCCCACAGCTTTAAGTCTGTGTTTATGTCCACCGATATGCGGTTGAATGTTATCTCCTCGCTCCTACTCTTCTATCAGTAGGCTTCACTAGCTCAAGATCTGCAGGGCCTGATCATTCCTGGCCTTGAAACTGTGCGTGGTGTTTAACTTCATTACCAGTTCACAACATTCGTTCAGCTTGCAACTCTGAGCCGCTAAATATTTCCTACTGTCGCTTTGACTCATTTGGGTCCTCAGCATCCCTTGCTAACATTTTCCATCATTACAGAACCCGCACATGGGGAAAAGAAGGCCATGGCGGCGTTCCAGTCCTACTTGGACCATCAATTAGTCCATTACCACAATACACACACAGCAACATACATGCACACGAGTAGTTTCCTACGAGTGACCCCTGCTGAAATACGTTAATTGACTTGCCATTGTTGACTCTCTCCCTCCCTCTCTCCATCCCTCTTCCTCACCAAGGAAAAATTCCTGGAAAATCCTAAATACTGATTCTGAACCCTCACGTTAAAATTACTCACTACGAGGCTGAGAGGCTGCTGGGCAGACGGTGCAAGATGCCTCCAGTGAATGACTAAGAACACTGAACTGATGCACGTCAAGGCCTCGAGGCTTTTAAATACCCTTACCTCGTATATGGAAAATGGCTAACCTGCCTCTTAGCTGTCTTCAACCTGCCCTTTAGCTGTCTTCAGCCGGCCTTTTAGCTGCCTTGAACCGGCCTTTTAGTTGTCTTCAGCCAGCCTCTTACCTGTCTTCAAGAGGGAACTTTTGTCCAAGTTCCTAATTAGTTCTAAAGTCTTGATCACAAGACCTGTGGTACCTACGTAGGTACCATAGGTCCAGTGTAGGTACCACATGTACCTACGTAGGACTGAATGATGATAGCAAGACTGACTGATCAAGCCTTCGACTAAAAGTCCTGAACAGAGACCGTGCTGCGGGGGCGACCCCCCCTCTCCCCATCATATAACTCAAAAAATTGTCTAGAAGTATTAGAGGGAGTCGAGTAAGCTGGTGAAAAGGCGAGGCGCTGGCACTTGTGCCAGGGTGTCTAAGTGCCAGACTCAAGTGTGAAGGAGGAGTGCCAAGGTGGAGGGCCAGGGAGAAGTGCCCAGCCTGTAGCGCCGAGCTCAAGTGCCTGGGACGTGTTCACGAGAGAGCTAATTAGCGTCAGGTCACCACTCTCGTTCAGGTCAAGGGCAGGTGGGAGCTGCGACAAATTGGCCTCCTCGACGCACTCCACACGCACTCCACACGCACTCCGTTCATATCAAACACTTGGTGTTACATTCTTCGTAACAAGCGCCCCGTCTTAGGCTCTGTACTTCTTAATCATGACTTACAAAATACGGGTCTTTCTTGTTGTTGTTCCTGATGCCACTTCGACTACTACTACTACTACTACTACTACTACTACTACTACTACTACTACTACTACTACTACTATTGCTGTTGCACTTTCCCACTTCAATCAGTATGCAGGTGGGGCTCGTCCCTTCACAACATCTAGTAATACAAAGTTAATTTCTGATCATTACGAGAGTTTTTGCTCTCTCAAAATATATTTCTGCCTATTTACTCAGTATAAATTATAAAGAGCTCTCCTCATCCTTTCTTAGGTTAGATTAAGTTTCTGAACCTCAGGTCTCATAAAACGCAATGCACTGTTCTCTTAAAACGTTGGGTATTTACGCTGGAGGGAAGCCGCGAGCCGTGACTCGACCCACCCAGCCACCACTAAGCACGAAATGCACGCAGACACGTACAGTTATAATATTACTAATAACTTATTTCTACAAGTTAACGCTCTCGCTTCACACGGTGAGGGTCTGGGTTCGATTCCCAGCCAAAGTAGAAACATTGGATGTGTTTCTTTCAACCTGTTGTCTATGTTCCCCATCAGTAAAATGGGTACCTGGGTGTTAGTCGACTGGTGTGGGTCGCATCCTGGGACACTGACCTAAGGAGGCCTGGTCACAGACCGGGCCGCGGGGGCGTTGACCCCCGGAACTCTCTCCAGATAAACTCCAGATAGTTAACATTAGTGACATACTATATAGAAAGTCCCTTGTTATGGAGAGTATTTCGGACAAGATAGGTCAATTTTGTCCCCAGGATGCGACCCACACCAGTCGACTAACACCCACGTACCTATTTTACTGCTAGGTGAACAGGGACAGCAGGTGTCTTAAGGAAACACGCCCCCAGTGTTTACACCCGTACCGGGAATCGAACCACGGCCCTCAGTGTGTGAAGTGAGTGCGCTACCAACCGAACTACGTAAGTGTAATGACGCAGCTGCCAGCTACGAAGCCCCGTCTTAGCAAGGATTCCGAGGTCTACACTACTAAGGTATCCTCTCTAGCTAGCATATTTCCACGGCCTTATTTTTTCCTGTCTGTCAAATAATTAGATCTCGCCGGCATTTTGTGTTCGGTGTTTTGTGTTCACTGAGATGGACGGTCAGTAGTTCTGGAGATATGGGCGATGACACTGTGGGAATCTTAACTCGTCAGGAAGACTTACAAGTGAGGCAGGGAGGGGCGATTTACACTCCCTCCAACGTCTTAGAAGGTAGTGTGGGGGGAGGGGGCAGCCATGAGCAAGTCTTAAGGCAGTGTTTGTGTCCCCGTTTAGTTCCTTGTTGTCATGTGTACTGGAAGGTGATCTTGAGGAGTCGCGCCTTAAGAAAGAGGAAAAACTTCAGGTTGTTAAGCCAGGAAAGCCAAGTTGGGGGATTAGTTCTCACCGACGTCCTTCAGTTCCTCCAAAAGAAACTTGAGAGAGCAGAGAATAAGTCGCAATTAGAGGCAGGAAGATCGTTCCTACACTACTTGCGCTGAATGACCGATAAATATGACAAGGAAGAATTAGACACACATGCAATATCTGGGTATCTTTATTTGTAGACGTTTCGCCATCCAGTGGCTTTGTCGATACAAATTCAAGGATATAATGAAAAGACTGGAGACATGTACACAAAATATATAACATTAACGTAGATTCATTAACACAGATCATGTCATACTGAGTCAATGATGTCAATTATGTTGTAAACTGTACGAACTTTACTTCTGTTGTTTTTACACTATAAACAACATTATAGAACCTTACTCTGTTTTCTTTAATTAGTTTACATATATTATGCACACCAGACCCATCCTGTGGGTGGTAGTTAAAAGATTACGAAGGTACATAATTGGTCCAGGGACTGTACCTCAGTTTTGATAGCTGAACAAGTTAGAGGTAATGAACTATTGATATGTTTATATGTGGTTACAGTCGTAATGAATTATTTATACAGGTATTTATTTGTTAACTTAAATATATTGTTTCCCATAGAAAACTGGTTGGTAAGCGCTTGCTAGCGTCCTTCTGAACGAATCTGCTGAGATTTCTTACTCATTTCTGCAACATTGTAAGCTCCTGATGATGTGTTTGCAACACGAAAGGCCTGTAGCTATAATACCAACTTACCTCATAATTTGTAATATTTTACAATTAAGAATAAAACTAAGTCTGCCCGAAATGTCTAGCCATGCTAGGTGTTCTAGTGGTACACTCTGTAATCATTATTTTACTACATGTAAACCAAACAATAACCAAATTTCTGTAAACTCAGCATTGTAATCCTTATAGAGAATAAACTTTGAATTGAATTCAACTCCCTCTGTGATTTTTTGCACATTATTCAATATTTAACTTCAAAAGCTAAATTATTAGAATAAAATAATTCCCCGTCAAAATAAACCAATTACTAGATTTATTTTTATTTTTTTATGTGAAGCGGTAAAAGTATATAGGCCATTCAGTGGCAGGACTGGTGAAGGCTCGATCCTCCGTCCGCTACTCGAGCGACACAGTAACTATACTCACTGGTTACTAGCCAATAGTTAGTGACATTCTTCTGATTGTGTACATGGGAGTGCATGGGAAGACTCTTAGCCGAAGACACAGTCTGTCTGCTGATAACTGTTTACATCTGTCTAGATTAAGATCTATCGTGCATTATCTAGGTGTACGAGTCAAGGATACAAAAGCAGAAAGCACTATTGTGTACGACTTCTTGTGCTGTACCTCCAGCCACCATGGATAGCATCGTTCACCCTGTGGAGCAGCACATCTACTCCTGGATGATCGCCAACACATCCAGGCAGGCCAACGATACCCTCGACCTCACACTTCTAACTTCAGAGGACCTACAACAGATGTGGCTGCAGAGACTTGATTTACCTCTCCAACATGTATCTCTGGGGTTCATTGCTCTCCTCGCATTGGAGAATGGAGTGAGAAGCTCAGGAAAGCTTCTCCGCTCCATGAAGCTTCTCCCTAAGAAGTGTAACTTTAATATTTATAATGTTGTTTGTGGCATCCTAAAAACAACATTGGCACTCGGCCTCCTGCTGTTGCTCGTGCCTGTGGTACTCCCCTTCGTCTGTATCTTCTGGCTGGCCTCCTGCTTCGTCAGCCTCGTCTACAGAGTCAACTTTGGGTCAAGTGTCACGAAGGCATCAGGTATGGACAGCGTGTGGGGCACCGAATACCCAGACAGTCGACCGTTCATCACAGTCACCCTTTTACTGTCTGGCGCTCCCGACCTAGCCAAGATAACACAACACATTCAGACAAAAATCCTGGACGTGAAAGACTCAAATGGTGACCATAAACACAAGAAATTCCGCCAGATGTTTGCTCAGATTTACGGCTACTACGCCTGGAGAAACGTCAACGATTTCAACGTAGAAAACCACATACGGGTTGTCAATCTTCGCAGTCTCTATTCAGGTGACTCGCGGGGGACCTACACCCTCGGGGACATCCCTGACATCAGAGAGAATGAATTTTCTCCCACTGTAGCGAGAAGCAGCGTAGATGATGAGTTGATACATCGTTACATTAGTGAAGAGGGGACATCACCTCTCTCGCCTGATCGTCCACCTTGGGAAATCATCCTGCTACTCAGGGGAGACAGAAGGTAAACAAGTTTATTCAGGTATACACAAATACAGTTACATAGATTATGATACATAGCAGCATATGTGTAGAGAACCTGGGATAATCCAAAATAGTCAGTGACTTATAACTCCCAAGCTACATAGACAACATATCTTAAATGTTATAGCATACAAATAAAAGAAATAATTGAAATGTTATATAGCCAAAATTAATGATTCGTGAGTTAATGATTTAATGAATTAGAAAATGAATGAGGGGCATGAGAAATAATACATTAGTTACCCTAATAAGCGTCAAGGTTTTCTATGTAACGCTTCTTCATTTATTTGAAAGAAAATGTGTTTACTATAACTAAGCAAAATATAACTTTTGAAAAAAATGTTGTTAAAATTAAAATTGTTTAGGTAAATGTGCACATAAATACAGTAAGATATATATAAATTATAACAAGTGTTTATGAATTCATCAATTGATAGTGAACTTAACTCATTATTTTTTTAAGGCTAGATTTCTAACCTGTAAATCTAAAGGAAAGTTGAACATTGATGAAGGGCTATTGATCTTTGCTCCGGTTCCCTGAATTGAGCCTGATTACCTTTACCCCTCTTACATTCACTATATAGTCCTACGGGTCTATTGCTCCCCTATAGTATAATATTCTAACCTATGAATAAGATATTACAAGGCGGGGTGGAAATTTTTAGCTCAGTGTAGCAGCGTAGATGAGTTGTTACATCAGTGAAGAGGGGACATCACCTGATCGTCCACCTTGGAAAATAATCCTTCTAATCAGGACATAATTCGCTGCCTGGCTGGCGGAGTGAGCTGACGTGCGCAGCACCCCTCTTCTGTCTACCTAGCAAGCTTGAAGGTGTGACAGTATGGTTACTAACGTGCGTTGATGCGTCGACACTGTTGGTATAGAACTTCTGAGAGGGGCGATCACGGCGGATTCGTCGCATGTGCTGCTCCCGGCCATCATCCATGACACACTCGGCATCAGCAATGCCATACGTGTCACGGATGATGGCCGGGAGCAGCACATGCGACGAATCCGCATGATCGCCCCTCTCAGAACCTCTATACCAACAGTGTCGACGCATCGACGCACGTTAGTAACCATACTTGTCCCAGCATTGTGTACATGTGGTGTTCGTGCAAAAACACAACTTTAAGGCAGGAAATGTGCTGGAGGTGATTGCAATGCCAACAGTGCAACTGAAGGGAGGTGTGGTGATCTTGGTTAGGGAGGCAAGCCCATTTGTATTGCTTAGGAGTGAACAGGGGAGGGTCTGTAGTGTGGATAGGAGGTGGATGGATGAGAGCATTTCTCTTGTGTGTGTGTGTGTATATGCTCTGGCTGAAAGTGATGTGGAAGTGAAGAATGACTTTGTGAGGGAGGATTTAGCATATTTTCTTCACCTTTTGCCGTCTGTGACAATCATAGGGGGGACTGGAAATGTCATAAGGTGGAGCAATGTGGCGCCGAGGGGGGCTGGCCATTTTTCAACGGTTTTGGGGTAGCTCCTTCGGGATACAATTGAGCGATGTGTCTGTGGGGGGGACATGGGTGGTAGAACACATATTTGTGGGAACGGGGTACAGGGCGCTGCTGGAGAGAATTGACATAACACAGAGGGTGCATGTCATGTTTCTAAGTACCATCACGGTGGCGTTTTCGGACCATCGAGCAGTACTCGTGGATGTGGGATGGGCATCACTAGCATCAAGACATCAAAGTTACAGGAAATTGAATACTCTTGTCTTAAATGATGAAGAGGAAGTGGGGAGTTTTGCTGACTTTTGGGGAAGACTCGCTGCAGAGGGGCACAGGGTGGAGGATGTGGTGGGTTGGTGGGATGGGGTAGCAAAGCCAGAGATCCAAAAGCTCTTTGTTCAAGAGGGCAAAAGGATAAACCAGATGAAAAATGGGCTGTTTAATTATATCGAGGATAGAGTGAGGTGCTGTTATGGGAGGAGGGCTGTGTCGGGGGTATACCAGGTGGCAGATATAGAGGAGTTGAAGGGGAGGATACGGGATATTCAGGATGAGCAGTTTGAGGCAGTGTGGGTGCAGGCAGGCATCAAGGAAGTGTTATGGGAAGACAAGTCTTTGGTGCGTGTGCTGCGGGGGCAGCAGCAGAGAAGACAGGCCACTATGATGTCACATTTGGAGGTGCATAGTACGATGGAGGGTTATCAGGAGGGACAGGTGATATGGACGATGGAGAGCATGGGGGTGTGTGCAAGTATACCGTGTAAACTCGGGGGAAGTGATAGAAAGGCATTGGGGGGCGAGATGGAGGAGGAGGAAATTTGGAAGGCGTTGTCGGCGATGGGCAGAGGTAAGGCACCGGGTTTGGATGGCCTGCCAGAGGAATTTTATGTGCAGCATTGGGATATAATGAGGGGGGTTTCGGTGAGGTTGTTCAACGCGATGAAGGATGGGGGGAGGTAGAGGGAAGTTCTGGAAATGGCGGTGGTGGTATTGATGCCAAAGGGGGTAATGCAGAGGACCCTTCGGGACTATAGAGCCATATCGCTGCTGTGTGCAGATTATAAGATATTAGCAAAAGTGTTGGGTAATCGTATGAAGTGTGTGGTGGACAGTGTCATGTCGCCGAGTCAGTATGGATTACCGGGATGGTCGATGTTGATGGGGCATGGGGTCCTAAATGGGTTTGTGGAAGATAGGGGGGTGCCAGGGGGCGTTGTTGGCCTTGGACTGCAGGGAAGCTTATGATACAGTAGAAAGGGAGGCAATGCAGAGTATCCTCCTTCAGCATGGCTACTGTGAGGAAATTGTGAGATGAGTAGACATGTTGTACATGGAGTTAAAGTTAGGGTGTAGGTTAACGGTAGGGTGGGGGGAGGTGGTCATGGGGAGGGGCTTACGGCAGGGGTGTCTGTTCTCGCAGATCTTGTTTGCATGTGCGCAGGACCCCTTTTACAGGATAGTAGAGAAAAGGGTTTGTTGAGGAGGGGGGTGGATGGGCAGAAGTGGCCAAGGTTAGTGGGTTATGTGGATGATTCGACCTTATTGGTGGATGAGCAGATGAAGCTGGAAAGGTTGGGGAGGGTGGTACAAATGTTTGGGGAAATGACTGGCATGGAGGTTAATGTGGGCAAATCGACGATAATGGGGTTGGGGGAATGGGGGAATCTCGGTGGTGACACAGGTTGACAAGAGTCTAAAAATTTGTGGGATCATTTATGCGGGGGAATGGAGTGGAGTGCAGGAAGCCAACTTGGAAAGGTTGGTGACTTGGGTTGAGAACATGCTGGGGACGTTAAGACTGTATCACTTGACACTTGTACAGCAGGCAATCGTTGTGAGAGTATTGCTTTATAGTAAGATCTGGTACTTGGCAAAAATGTATCCACTAATGGGTCCAGCTATTACCTGTATACTGAGGAGAGTGTTTTGTTTTTTATGGGGATTGGGCTGTGAATGGTTGAGGAGGGAAGTGGTGTCATTGCCGGTGCATCAAGGGGGACTAAGACTCTTGGACCTGTGTAAGTTGATCATGTGCATGTTCATCAGATGGGAGGTGTTGTGGGTTGGGGGCTTCCAGGGGGGGAATCTGGAGAGGGTGCACGAGACACTGTGGTACACGTACAGGGGCACGTAGTTTCATGACTGTGAAAAATTATGTGCGGTGGTGATGGCTTGTGAGCCTGGGGAGATGAGGGTGGGGGTTCTGTACAGGGCGTTAGTAGGACGGGTGGCAGCACCAGTGATGGGGTTATTCACAATGTATGATTGGGGGGCATTTGGCTTTGTTTTAGCAGGCTGAGGATCCAGCCAAGGGTATGAGAGGTGATGTATCGTTTCCTCCATGGCATTTTGCAGTCAGGAGCAGTGCTGCAGTATAGGCAGATTGTAGAGGGGAAAAGATTTGGGATCTGCAGGGAGGAGGAAACAGCATTTCACATGGTATATTTTTGTGAAGGGTTGGGTGGGATTCGGGAATGGACAAGTCAAGTGTTGGCGAGGGTGGGAGGAGGGTGTCAGTATTGAAGGCACTCAGTTTGGATGTGCGGGGGAGGCTGAGGAAATGGCAGTTGCAGTAGCTTATGTGATAGATTTTGTTTACATATTGTGAAGTTTGTGGGGGCGGGGAGAGTGGGAAATGCAGCAGAGGGTGTTGGCAACAACGTTTTATAGGATGTTGTGTAGGAACAGGTGTGTATACAGAAACCGGTAGGAGACCCACTTTTTGGAAGGTTATAGGAATCTCACTGTGGGGGTTTGATGACCTTGTGAGGGGTGGGTGGGGTGGGAAGTGTACAAGGTGGGTGCAAAAGGAGGGGTATGGCATGACTGTTAGGATAGGGGGGAGTCAATGGGGTATACACCAGGCTAGCCTCCAGGTGAGATAGTGCATGGAATGGTTCTGGGGGGAAAGGTATGGGGTTGGTGAGTGGAGGCTTTGCATGGTCTGTTTCGTATGGCGATTGAAATTGCTATGTAGGATGTACTAGTGGGCAGTGTATGCCTGAGTGCACCATTTGAGAGTTAGACACATCAGAGCCTGTGTTGATTCATGTATGGTAATGTAGTGTTATAGTCCCAGGGCAATGTATAACTAAGGACACTTGAAAGGGTGTCCACAGTGTAGCAGCCCACCATCGACTGTGTAGGGCAATCTTGAAACAGTGGTATGGATGAGGCTCGGATCTTCTTGATTCGCCAGTACTCTCCCAACCCGGGCCTTTTCCAAGTGGTGGCCCGGCCTTGGCTCCCTATTTTGGAAGTATCTCAGACTAATGTTTGCCATGGGAGGAGATACAAGTACCTCCTCATCGTTGGGACCAACTGTCCCCAGGCCTAGCCACATTTCCCGCCCTCACGGGGCTCGTAGGGAGAAGCTAGGCCTCTCTGGTCTGCTATCCCTACCCCAAGGGGGCTAATGGGAATGGCAGGCTTGTGAGCTGCAAACTCTGTCTCAGGCACCTACCTTGACCTAGAAGAGCTGGGCATGGTGCCAATCGAGGCTGGAGTTGTTACAATAATGT